TTGACCCTTACCCCTAACGGTGCAACGTTATTTACTACTCATCACTTGTTACCTACCTCACTTTCCATCATTTTATACTTGGTATACCCTGCAGCATTACCCATGAATCCCAAACTCTATACAATTCACCAAGTATTTGGTATTTACATTAAACATCTAAAATCAATACTGAACAATCAGTACTAAGTACACTCTAATGTATTACCTATCACTCTTTGCCTAGAACACGAAGTTGCAATATCCGTTGCTTGGAATACCCTGATGCACTTCCAATCACAGTAATTTGGCTGCACTCATCATTCATTCATTAATACACTAAATCACTACCAATAACTCTTTACCAAGTATACCCTTACACTCCTTCTTACTCAAAACTAGGTATATACTTACTCATTATTTTTAACTAGTTACTTAGTATAACTTCCTTCTCTATCTGTAAGTCGTTCTTCTCAGATGTGCTGAGTGAGCGGGATACATAAGCAATCGGCCATAAGGAGAGGCGTCTGTCGCAAGACATAAGGGTAGGTCTGTATCATAATGGGTAAGTACTTCATCTGATGTGATTAGCTTTTTAAGGCGTCCTTACAGTCTTTTGTCCAACATCACTTGCGGTCCTTCTCAAGTAAGTTGTACAGTGGGTGAAGCACTGTATATAAATTGGGAATAAAACGTGCATAGTAGTTCACAATCCCCAAGAATGAACGAAGTTCGGACACATTAGTAGGCTGTGGTGCATTTACAAATGCTTCTATCTTACTCTGTGTCTTTTGTAAACCATGAAGGTCAATTTCATGCCCACAGAAAGATACTTTATCCTTGTCCAGGTTTACTCTGAGTCCTTATTCTGCCAATCTGCTGAGCACAGCATCTAAATTCCGCAAACGTTCTGCTTCATCTTTGCCTGTGATGATCGTATCGTCAATGATACACTTCACACCAGGAAGTCCCTGAAGCACGACATCAATTGAACGCTGCCAAATTGCTGGCGCAGATGCAACACCATACACTAGGCGATTGTAACGATATAAGCCCTTTTCTGTGTTGATGGTCAGTAAATGACGCGATTCTTCTTCTACCTCCATCTGTATGTAGGCATGTTTTAAATCCACTTTTGAGAATTGTTGTCCTCCAGACAAAGCAGCAAATTAACTTCAATTCTTGGAAGAGGGTACTGGTCAACTTCTAATACTGGGTTAAGAGTCACCTTGAAATCTCCACACACACGAACTGAACAATCCGTCTCACTGACTGGTACAATGGGCGTTGCCTATTCACTACAGTTGCACTTTTCCAGGGGCATGTTTGATTGAATAAACTCGAGTAACTCTAAGGTTAAGTTAGTGCATGCGCAGAGGGTAAACTCCGTAAATGCGGAAAAAACGACAATTGGTGTAATGTCTCCGAATCAACTATGTATGAGTTAACTTTTTGTTTTGTTTGTTAGAAGAGTTACTTCCCGTAGTGTTGGCAAGCGCCATATTTGTACATGTGCAAAAGTGTTACTAGATTTTGTGACTTTGTAGCCCTATAGCGTAAGTACACTTTCATAAGTTATAAACATAAGATCTTAATATTCATGTGTTAGGACGCAAACCTTTATTGTCAAATATTTCAGTAATTTAAAGCATTATCTACGCATGGTTAACATGACCTGGTTTTTTGTGTAAGGCTAAGCACGTGGTTCGTGTTCAAATCATTTTTTGAGATTTATACAATCTAGTCACTATGTTATACTTGTATATGTGAATTTGTAAGGATAATTTGTTGATTTCTTGCTGAGTTATTATTACATGCCAGTTTTATTGCTTATAAATTGATTGCTGTTAAAAGAAAAAAGTATGGAAACCCGGTTTGGTCATAAATGTAGCATAATAGAGTCAATGTTTTAAGTCGATCATTTTGTACGTAATTTCTTATAACCTTTTTTGTAATTTACAGTCTTTTACTACGTTGATGCTGAATAAAAACAATGAGTCAGTATAGTAAAAGAGCTAGGACTACGTAGGCAGTCATGGAGAACCAGGGCGGTTCAACCACACCACACAAATCTCCTCTAACAGATCAGCGTTCTCAGAGATCTACTAGACAGTTGACAGCGGCAGGGAGGCAAATGTATGAACAGCATGTGAATAAATTCTGTGACAAACTACGAAAGCTTAGAAAGAAACTAGAAAATGAAATGAAATACTCGTACAATGAACTTACAACTGGAAAGACAGAAATCCTGGTAATTTTGAAAGAAAGTTTACTGAAACTTACTCAGGACTACCATAACATTAGTGAAGAGTTTCTGAATTTTCTTGTAAGAACAAATACTGAGGACAGCAGAAGAGAAAAAGCTGCACAAGAGGTAGTCATATCCTCCTTGGAACAGAAAGTAGAAAGTATCCTCCAGGAAATTGACACAATCATGGAACAACAGGATACAGATACAAAGTATTCACCAGATTCAAAATCCAAACTCTCTCATGACCTGAAAGACAATGCGTCTCTTAAAGGCACAGCAAGATCTGTGAGTGGGAGGTCAAGATCAAGCAGGTCATCAGCATCTAGAAGTACGACTTCCAGAAGTACAACTTCCATGTTATTGGAACAGAGGGTAAAAGCAGAGGCAGCCAAAGCAAGACTGCAATTTGTACAGAAAGCTTCAGAATTAAAGAAAGAGCAAGCAAGGCTTGATGAACAGGAGAAAAAGTCTAAGGCAGAGACCCTCAGGAAAAAAGCAGAGTTAGAGACAGAGTTAGAGTGTCTGGACGCACAAAAGGAATTAGCAACAGCCCAAGCAGAGTTACGAGCAATGGAGGAAGACAATGGAGACATAGACAATTTAACTAGAACATCTATTTCTAATATTGACTCCTCAGAACGAACAAGAAAATTCATTGAAGAAGTTAACCTGTTAAGGAATTTGGAGTTGGTTCCAGCAACAGAAAATGTAGAATACACCCAACCGAAAGTTTCAGCAGCAAACAATACTGCTACTCACTCTCCAATTTGTGAACCATCATTTTCATTGAATCCTGAGGCTCGACCCTTTGAATCACAGAAAGACAACCTAGTCAATCTAGCAAGCTTTATGTTGAAAAAGGATCTGATGCTTACAAGACTTGTTAATTTTGATGACAAGCCAGAGAACTTTGTAGCATGGAAGGCAAGTTTCAAATCTGTGGTTCAGGATGAATTAGTTACACCTCTCGAAGAATTAGACTTATTGATCAGATGGCTCGGCCCTGAGTCCAAGGAACATGCTAAAAGCATCAGAGCAGCAACAGTAGGGAATCCCTCTCGAGGATGCCAGACCTTATGGGCTAGATTAGAGGAAAGATACGGTTCACCGGAATTAGTTGAAACAGCATTAAAGTCCAAACTTGCAAGCTTCCAGCGACTCAGTGCAAGTGAACCTAGACGACTGTATGAACTCTCAGATATCTTAAGTGAAATATTTGCCTTAAAAGAAAACCCAAGGTACAGCCAACTTTTCAGTTACTTTGACACATCAGTGGGAGTGCTTCCAATAGTACAAAAGTTAACGCCCAGTTTGCAAAACAAATGGACTTCTAAAGCTTCAAAGTATAAGCTGACTCATGGGGTCCCATACCCTCCATTTAGTGTCTTCTGTGACTTTGTAAAGGAAGTTTCAACCATGATGAATGATCCTGGCCTACAAGTAGCTCCAACTTTCGCCAAAGAAAATCGAGACCTGAAAACCCCAAGATTCAACCAGCATAACTTCAAACCAGTAAAATCTGTGACTGTTCAGAAGACTGATTTTAAAGAGTCAACAAGAGACCATAAGGTGACACAGAAGAGATGCCCTATTCACGATGCTGAGCACACATTAAACCAGTGTAGGGCATTCAAGAAAAAATCCATTCGTGATCGTAAACAATACCTGCGAGAGCACAACTTGTGCTATAGATGTTGTGAATCGGACACACACACATTCAAAGCCTGTCACGCAGAAGTGAAATGTGAGGATTGTGGAAGTGTGCAGCATCCCACTGCTCTTCATCCGCCTGAGAGCTCTCAGGGCCAGAGACAGCATGGCGGGGAGGAAGGTAATATTCTCACGAAATGTACAGCTGTGTGTGGAGAACAGTTTTCTGGACGTTCATGTGCAAAGGTCGTCTTGGTAGATGTGTATCCGAAGGGAAAACCTTCAAAACGTCTGCGCCTTTATGCTCTTGTTGACGACCAGAGTAATACAACACTTGGAAGATCTGAGCTGTTCGACTATATGGATGTTCCCAATAGTCAAATTCATTCATTTACGCTTACCTCATGTGCTGGACGCATTCACTCAAGCGGTCGCAGAGCCTCTGATTTGATGATAGCTGCAGTCGATGGATCCATTGTAATGGAACTTCCTACTATTACAGAGTGCAATGAGATTCCAGATGAGCGACACGAGATACCGACTCCAGAAGTCGTCAAACACCACCCGCATCTTAGGGATCTATCATTACCTCCACTTGACACAGATGCCAAAATACTTTTACTGATTGGTAGAGACTTGATACAAGCACATCATATACATGATCAGCGAGTAGGACCTAAGGACTCACCCTTTGCACAGAAGTTGAGTCTTGGTTGGGTAGTGATAGGAGATGTGTGCCTTGGCAGATTACACAAGCCACACGGTGTCACTGTCTACAAAACTACAGTGATTGAAGATGGCCGTCAGTCCATTTTCGAACCATGTCAAAACAGTTTCCGCCTGACAGAGGGCATTGTGCCACACCAGGATGTGGTAAAGAAAGACATTTTCCAAATATCAGCGGACGATGACCAAGTTGGCCTCTCTGTAGATGATCGTCAATTCCTGCAGATCATGGAGGAAGGTTTTGAGAAAGATTCCAGTGGAAAGTGGAAAGCTCCATTACCGTTTAGAAAACCAAGGCCAGTCTTGAAACAACCGACTTCAAGCTTTGAAGAGGGCCCACATGTTGGATGCTAGTCTTGAGAGGAACTCAGTGAAAAAAGAACATCTTGTGACTTTCATGAGAGGACTCATAGACAGTGGTGCAATGGAGGTGGCTCCGCCTTTGCCTGCAGGGAAAGAATGCTTTTACTTACCTCTCTTTGGAGTTTATCACCCGCGGAAGCCTGACAAAATACGCGGTGTATTTGATTCGTCCGTTAAATACAAGGGCCTATCCCTCAATGGAGTACTGCTATCAGGACCAAACCTGACCAATGAACTACTGGGAGTCCTTATGCGCTTCCGTATGAACAGAGTGGCCTTTATGGCAGATATAGAACAGATGTTTTATTCATTCCTGGTCCGAGAGGACCATAGAGATTTTCTACGTTTCTTCTGGCACAGAAACAATGAACCGTGTGAAGAGTTAATTGAATACCGAATGCGGGTGCATGTGTTTGGGAATACACCCTCGCCGGCGGTAGCAACATATGGCTTACGCAAGACAGTTGAAAAAGCGGAAGTTGAGGTACAGAATTATGTTACCCGAAATTTTTATGTTGATGATGGGCTCATGTCTGTGGGATCAAGTGACGAGGCCATAAATCTGCTTCAAAAAACGCAGCAAGTGCTGAAGGACGAAGCCAAGATCAGACTTCACAAGATAGCATCGAACAGCGTTGAAGTAATGGAGGCTTTTCCCGCGGAAGATTTAGAAAAGAATCTGAAGTCGCTCGACATTGCGGCTGATGAGTTACCAATCCAACAGAACCTTGGCTTAGCATGGGACATCAATTCAGATAGTTTGAATTTCAGTGCACGCATCCCAGAAAAACCGTTTACAAAAAGAGGTCTTCTGTCCATAATTAACAGTTTATTTGATCCTCTTGGGTTTATCGCACCTATAGTCATACATGGTAGGATACTTTACAGGGAGATATGTGAGGACAATGATGACTGGGACGAACCTCTACCCAATGATCGTGAAGAAGAATGGACTACATGGAAGCAATCTCTACATGCCTTGGAGAATCTGCGCATTCCGAGGATGTATACTCCAGTGTCCTTGAGTTCTGCTTCCTCAAGCAAAGTTCATGTTTACTCAGACGCCTCCGAAAAGGCAATTTCTGCGGTTGTGTACTTGCAGACAATTGATGATTTAGGTGAAGTCAATATTGGATTTGTCATTGGGAAGTCGAGAATAGCACCTAAACAAGGAAATAATATTCCACGCCTTGAGCTTTGTGCTGCTCTTCTAGCCACGGAACTAGCTCAGACAGTATTCCAACAGCTTGACTTAAATCAAGATTCTGCAAAATACTATACAGACAGCAGGGTCGTTCTAGGATACCTACATAACCGATCTCGTCGATTCTACAATTATGTCAGCAACCGGATCAACATGATACACAGGCGATCTAAACCAGAGCAGTGGACCTTTGTTTCCACACAGGACAATCCAGCTGACATTGGAACTAGGTGTTACACATCTGTTGAGGACATGTCTCAAAGCGATTGGCTCAGAGGACCGATACAACTGAGGTCTGTAGAGAAGGTAGAGGACAAAAGCTTCCCCTTAGTCAATCCAGATGCAGATACAGAAATACGACCCATAGTTTGTGTCAAGAAAACAGAGGTGAAGGAACATTTAGTGGATAGATTTGAGAAGTTCTCCTCTTGGACAAGATTGGTGAATGCAGTCTCATATCTAAAGAGATTTTGCAGAAGAAAAGCTGAGTTTTCTTTGCACAGTATTGAAGATACTCAGGAAGCAGAACGTTTCATTATCAGGGAGACTCAGAGATTCTGGTATGGAGATGATATGAAGAGTTTACAGGAGAAGAAACCACTTCCCTTGAAAAGCAATATCATTGCTCTTCATCCTTTTGTAGATAATAAAGGAATTTTACGTGTTGGTGGACGTCTAAACAAAGCACCCTTCACTATAGATGAAAGAAATCCTGTCATTCTTCCAGGAAAATCCCACATTGCCAGACTTCTCATTACTCATCTGCACGAGAAAGTGTATCATCAGGGTAGACTCATCACGGAAGGTACAGTGAGATCCAATGGCTTTTGGATTATCGGATGTAAGCGCCTTGTTAATTCCATCTTGTACAAATGTGAAGTGTGCAGGAAACTTAGAGGGAAGTTAGAATTTCAACAGATGGCGGACTTACCACCTGACCGAGTTACATCTGGACCTCCATTCAGTTCAGTAGGGGTCGATGTATTTGGGCCGTGGCCAGTAGTGGCACGACGAACTAGAGGGGGCCTTTCCCACAGCAAAAGATGGGCTGTGCTTTTTACTTGTATGAAAACAAGAGCAATACACATTGAGATCATTGAGGAGATGAGCAGCTCATCATTTATTAATGCCTTACGCCGATTCATCTCTATTCGTGGACCTTTGAAGGAAATCCGTTCCGATAGAGGAACCAACTTCTTAGGAGCCCTTGATGACATAAAGGCTGAAGCTGTCTACACTGAAAAGGGACCTATTCACAATTATCTTCTTGAGAATAGGATAACTTGGACTTTCAACCCCCCACATGCGTCACACCAGGGCGGAACCTGGGAAAGGATGATTGGAGTGTCACGAAAAATACTGAACTCAATGTTACTAAATGCGAACACAAAACAACTCACTCATGAAGTCTTGTGCACATTTATGTGCGAAGTTTGTGCCATTGTAAATTCAAGACCCATTTGCTCAATATCATCTGATCCAGAAAATCCACAGATTATCAGCCCTTCGATGTTACTTACTCAGAAGGAATTTCCTGATATTCATCCTGTTAGCTCATCTGACATGAAGGAAATATACAGGAAACAGTGGAAACATGTGCAGTGCTTGTCGGATATCTTCTGGAAGCATTGGAGGAATGGTTACCTCCAGCAACTCCAAGTGCGACGTAAGTGGCAGACTGAACGTCCTGATGTAAAGGTTGGTGATGTTGTTCTTTTGCGCGACAAAGAAGCCCACCGTGGACAGTGGCCACTTGGACTGATTGTGAATGTCTTTAAAAGTGAGTGTGACCACAGAGTAAGAACAGTTGAGGTGCGCATTATCAAGGATGGTAAGCCAACAACATATATCCGCCCTATTACAGAACTTGTTATCTTGATTGACTAAGACAAACATTTGAAAACGTTGCTTGAGAATGTCTTTGTAAATTGTAATATCTTTCAGACATTAGGCGGGGAGTGTAATGTCTCCGAATCAACTATGTATGAGTTAACTTTTTGTTTTGTTTGTTAGAAGAGTTACTTCCCGTAGTGTTGGCAAGCGCCATATTTGTACATGTGCAAAAGTGTTACTAGATTTTGTGACTTTGTAGCCCTATAGCGTAAGTACACTTTCATAAGTTATAAACATAAGATCTTAATATTCATGTGTTAGGACGCAAACCTTTATTGTCAAATATTTCAGTAATTTAAAGCATTATCTACGCATGGTTAACATGACCTGGTTTTTTGTGTAAGGCTAAGCACGTGGTTTGTGTTCAAATCATTTTCTGAGATTTATACAATCTAGTCACTATGTTATACTTGTATATGTGAATTTGTAAGGATAATTTGTTGATTTCTTGCTGAGTTATTATTACATGCCAGTTTTATTGCTTATAAGTTGATTGCTGTTAAAAGAAAAAAGTATGGAAACCCGGTTTGGTCATAAATGTAGCATAATAGAGTCAATGTTTTAAGTCGATCATTTTGTATGTAATTTCTTATAACCTTTTTTGTAATTTACAGTCTTTTACTACGTTGATGCTGAATAAAAACAATGAGTCAGTATAATTGGTGTTACTCTAGTGTTCATTTAAAAAATGGAGAATAATAAAATCGTCTTGATGCTAGTGCTCAATGACTTACTGGTAAATGATAACGAAGATGAAAGCGACACCAACGATGTATTCGTGTTTTATGTGCTGTCAGGGTGTTCTGTAAGGAATCATGTGCCCTCCGTTTAAGACTTCTATGAAATAACTGCTCAAAATTTCTCCGAGGTCGATTTCAGAAGACATTTTCGCTTAATTTGTCAAACATTTTATAAAATAGTGCGTGAAATTGGACCTATCGTTTCAAAAGAAGACCTAGCGTGAAAAAACCTGTTGTTGTTGAGAAAAAATAATGATATGTTTATGGTATTTAGCTAACACTACGAGCATGAGAGAAATATCAGTATTATTTGGGGTGTCAACATATACTGTATATCAATGTGTGAACCCCGTGTGCAGTGCACTTTGCAGCATTCGATCACGGTTGATTTCATGGCCAGACAATCAAAGGCAACAAGAAATTTCGGATCAATTTGAATTGGAATGTAAAATATCTGGAATTGTAGGTGTTATTGATGGAACACACCTAAGACTGAATGGTATTCCTGCCAATGATAATGATTACATAAACAAAAAAGGGTATCCATCTTTACAACTCCAAGTTGTCGTGCACAACTTGAGATTATTCACAGATACATATGTAGGTTGGCCGGGGTCAACACACGATGCAAGAGTGTTCAGAAATTCTCCAATACAAGAAGACCATCGCATCATTTTACCTAATGGATTCATTATTGGTGACTCAGTATATCCACTTAAGGAGTATTTGATGACCCCTTTTAGGGATACTGGCCGATTGGCACCAGCACAGCGACATTACAATCAAAAACTGAGCAGTTGAAGGAAAATTGTAGAACGAGCAATAGGGCTCCTGAAGTGTAGATTCCGAAAACTTGAGAAAGTCCCCTGTTATAATATAGAAAGAGCTTGCAAACTAGTTACTGCAAGTTGCGTTTTACATAACTTATGTGTTTTATCAAATGATTCTGTGCAAGATCTGTTAGACAATTATATCATCTCTGATGATAATGTAAATAATTATGGACCGTTATATGCCAGTGTAGTCCCTGGTATTGTCCGCAGGAATGCTATTGTAACATACTTGGAAAATTTACCATGAATGTTGTTTTCAAAATGTGTCATACATGTGCTGCTGTTTTCATTAAATGCATAATGAATATACTTTACATGCTTGTGTAGTATTTGTATTTAAAAATCAAAACCAGTACATATTCATCAGAGAGGTAATATTACTTGAACATGTTGAATGTATTGGTTTTTTTTAAAAGAATCCAAAAAAAAAATCTATTTTTTTCTTCAAATGTATTGTTTATTATAACGTCAATGACATTGAAAAGAAATTAAACAAATGATGTAAAACATTTCATGAACTTTTAACAACAACAACAATTATATGACCCCTTGTCAACATGATCTAAACAAATATTTTTAAATATTTTCAGATTCTTTTCATTAATTCTTAATCAAAAATTAGGATACAATACAATCAAGAGCAAATTATTTTTGAAAAAGTCAGCTACAAGTAATAACAGAACGTAGAAGAGTAAAACAGAATTGCACTGAATATGTACTATTTTGCACAAACAAATAAAATACCTCATTTAAATTCTCAAAAAAAAGAATAATTAAAATAAAAAATAGCTTTCCAATCTATAACTCTCTTTAAGGGAAAAGGTGGAACTTCTGACATCAGTACAAGTTCACATATTTCAAAACTATATTCTGTATGTGAAATGAATGATTATTTTACATTCCACTGTTTTATTTCACAATATTTCTCAAGAGCTTGGTTAACAATGGAATGAAATTCATTCATACTCAAGGACTTGCTATCGTGTACTTTAATATTACCAGCCTCACTTTGTACTTTCTGATACATTTCATACTCAACTGGCGTGAAAGTTTTGGTTGACACTTGCCTTTGACTTGAAAATTCAACTAAAAATATACTCAAATCCTTTTCGAGAGAAAATTTTTCCCCATTTTCAAAGTTCAAATTTGCACCAAACCTAGAAAAGTATCAAATAATTTCTAAGTAATAATGTGAAAATTCACCAAACAACATTTAAGGCCAACAATAAAAAATGATTTGTTTGATGTACTCCGACCTACCCGTCAAAATTCAAAATCGCCCCCTACTCAATCATTTTTTCAGTACTTTGAATTTTTAATTTTTTTTAATTTCCAGAGAAATAGACATCCTTTCATTTTAAAGATTTATAATTTCTTGAAGAAGCTTTTTCAATGAACGTTTTATGGCATTAAACATTAAATCTATCTTGTCCAGTGTATAATGAAAACATCAATAAATTTCTAAGTTTGTGGGGTTTTTTTTATGACAATAATCAATTTATCAGATAGGGGAAAAAACAACCACCTATTCAAAAATGGTCGGAGTACATCAAACAAAAAAAATTAATGGTGGCCTAAATGAAGTTCAATACAGCAATAGTTAACTCAAAACAGAATTCAAGCAAACTTATGAACAGAACTAATTTTGTTTGCTTAAATTCTGTTTTACACAATCAATCATTTTTTTTTTTATCAAAGACAATCTTTCTTGCTGTTGCTGTTTTAATAAATCTAATTTTTCTTTCTGGAAATCCTCTTGCTTTCGCGAGTATTTTTGCAAGAATTCATAATTCGCATCTTGCCTTGTCTTTCTTTTCTTTTTTTTTTTTTGGAGCCCTTTCCTTGCTTGTGTGACATGGGGAAGATTGACCTGAAGGGGATGTACTGCATTCACTTTCGGAATTGGAATCTTCTTTTCTGCATTTTTCTTTTGAGTCTTTTTCCCCTGTTGACTTTCCATAGATCTTGACTTTCCCTCCATAGATGCCAGGGGAAAACTAGGTTTTGTGCCACTCTTGTTCATCAAATTCATCCATATATTGGCACGTTTTCCTGTCATTGCCCGTTTGAGAATTATGGTCAACTGTTTCTCTTTTTTTTTATATTCTCGTTTCAAACTCTTCCATTTGTTTAAGCATTGAGTGCCAGTTGCTAAAACCCCTTGATTGTTGAGTTCATGAGAGATATTTTGCCATAAGATTATGTAACATTTTGTTGAGTTAAATTTTTCCTCGTAGGTTTTTCTGATTTCAATTAATGCTTTTGTGTCATTCCCAGACCAGATTTTTGTTCCATTATATTAAATAAATATTACTTTTTAGGTAAAAATGGTTGGAATACTTTTATTAGTATTTTTTATTATTGAACTGCATTACCCATCAAGTATGGAAGTAGAAAAGAGTCTTTTAAAATAGACAAATAAAATGTGAAATTGTGGTTAAGGAAAATTAATTTTAAGATAAGATGTATACATGTAAAAAGGAAACCTAATCAAACAAGGTATGAAAGGATACAGAAGTAAATATATACCCTATATACGCATAACTTTTTTAGGGAAGGGGTTTATCCTGAATAATATAAAAATTCCGTTATTATATCAGATAACAAAATATGAAATATGAACCTGAGCTTGAGGCTACACCTTCTTCTGTTTCTCCGGTTAGCTCATCCAATGCTAGTTGTCGGAGGTTTGGATCTAAAATTGACATGTTAGTTTATCTGTAGTGTACTTACGATCAATAAATTACCTCTCCTTTGTAAAAACATGAATTCATATGTGCTGTCTTGTTTTGTCAGATCTAAGAAGCGCCCCCCCCCCCCTCACGATCTGAAACTTTTAGATTCCGTTTATTTTGTTCATAGCACATTGAACTACGCAACTCAATAATAAATTTCTTGAAAAGTAATTAAAAATAAAACTAAGAAAATTCAATATCGCATTTTATCTGTAGAGTTCAATATTTCAACCAACTGAGCAGTAACTAGTGCCTTTATTTTTTCGCCATTTATCTCTAACTCGACTTGAAATCTGTGTGGATAAAACAGTTATATAATAAAAAGTTCCGTAATTCATATCTTGTGTGGGATAAATTGGATATATATTCCTCAAAACTCAAATTTGCATATGTCAAACTTACAATTGTTCTTCGTTTGCCGCTTTTTTTGAAATCTTGTGCTCCTACTAAAAGCTGGAGTTAACTTTTTCAACACGTGTTCAACACTAGTGTCGTAAAATGTATGTTTTATTGACAACTCCGGAAACCCGAGGTACTCGAGTCGTTCAATCAAATGCACCCCAGGACACCAACTTCTCTAGCCACAGGCTTTATTCTTTCTCCTGTGTAAGTCTTTAGCAAAGTGTCACTAGGTTTCATCTTGACATTTGGAGATTTCTCCTTGAATATTTTCTCAGGAATTACAGATACTGCGGCCCCTGTATCCGATTCCATTTCCAGACTAACACTGTTTACTATGGGTGTAATCCTTGTCACATCGTCTGATCTGCTCATGGAGTTAATATTCATTTCCAAAGTCTTAATGTAGATCTGGTCACCATCACTATCTGAACTGTCATTTATCAAGTGGATACTCATCTTATATTTCTTCTGGCTGCGATATGCATGTTTGGAGTGACCCTTCTTATGACACTTGAAACACTCCTTGTCTCTGCAATAAAAGCTTTGTTGATTATGGTCATCATTGCACCGGAAACATGATTTCCCTCCCTTGGAGATAAATTTCCCTGATGTCCCACCCTATCCATGAGATTTCTTTTAGTATGCAGTTTATGTACACTTGCTTAAACTGTAGTTCTGTGGCATCCCGGGCTGCTGTCTCAATTGCAACGGCTATATCCGTAGCAGAAGTAAGGGTTAGTTCAGCCTCAGATAGAAGTTTCTTTTGTATATGCTCATTGCGTAAGCAACAAACAAGTCTGTCTCATAACATATCATCAAGAATAGCCTCATCAAATAAGCACTAATCAGATAAATTTCTCAGTGCTGCTACATAATCAAGAATACTCTCACCTTCTGCTTGTTCCATCTTATGAAAGCGAAAACGTTGAGCTATGACAAGCGGCTTTGGACATAGATGCTTTCGTAGTGTCGCTACTAAGTCGCCATACGATACCTCTAAAGATTTCTTGGGTCTCGTGAGCCCTCGCAGCAGTGAACAAGTGTTTCCACCAATCAATGTAAGTAAAACGGGTACTCTCGTCTCTGTAAACACGTTTGTCCTTACTTGTGTCCCCAATACACAACATTGGCGACGAGGATTGTGCAAGTAAGTGTTCGGATTGTGTACTGTGTACCGTCCACGTGCTTTCACAGTCACGACAGGAAAAATTGGCCGATTAGAACCATTGCTACTGCAGTTGAGTCATGGGATTCTTATCATGAACACCTTGAACAATATTTTAATTGTAGATATGACCCTACTGTTCTTTTCGGGCGCGTCGATTTACCAAAAGGAGCCTATAATGACATAATGGGAAATTCCAAAAATACTTAAGGCATTTAATCGTTATTTTTTGCAAGATATAGTCTCATAACTGCAACGATGTGTGCAAAGAAATTGAGTAGCGCGCGTTATGAAAATTTGTTTGCACATACCCTTGCAGTTATGGGACCGTAAAATAATGATTCGATGCTCATCATATTCCTTTTCTTGACTGCAAATGTGATTTATATTTCAAAATCCTTGTATTATCATTCCGGTAAGCTACAATTAATGGAAGAGCGTTATTCAATTTGTTTGCACACACCGTAGCAGTTATGACACTATATCTTGCAAAAAATAATGACTCAATGCTTATATTTAGATTTTTAACTCCTTGCCTTGACTGCAAATAAGACTTTCATATCAAAATCCCTGTACTATCCTTTGGGTGTTACAATTATTCGAAGAGGCATTACAGCAGCTTCTATTCAATGTGAGCGTGAATTTTAATTATCGCTTATGACGTTG